CTCACTAAGCTACTTTACCACAAGTTCATCACCCAGAGGATCGTGAAAACCACACCAAAATAAGACCGTGGAAGGTTGCGGGTCAAAGTCTAGATGCAACGTATCACTCTATCAGTGGAAAAAGATAACCACAGATATAACCATTCCATAGATGGCTTATTCTAAATAAAGTGCATATTCTTCTCTTACATAAAATTGCTGAATTCCGGATTGTCTATTTTGGGCGCCAGACCTCATTGAGATTGGGCGTTTTGGGCCATTACCTCCTGAATTAAACTCGAAGTGGTAAGTCCAGACGTTTCAATCTACTGGTACAGAAGTGGGTGTGGCGTTTGTGGTATCCTGTTCCCCATTCTAATAGAATACCTAAACTTGGAGGCCAGCCTTTTGATTGTTGTATTACCGAACAACTTGATTATCCAATGTATTTTGCAAAATTGCCTTCATATTCACACCTACGCTACGAATATCCCTTGACTTCATTAGACAACTGCTTTTATATTGTCTTTACATTCTGGATTCACCATGCTTTCACACACTCACATGACAGTAACAGAAGGGTGGTCACTGCCCTAGTAAAGTCCATTATCATAGTAGCTTTCACTAGGGAATATAAAGATTGATAGTGTAGGATGTTATAGTTTGGCCTTCACTGACAACTAATCCTTAGAAATGAACAAACGATACATGCCTTAGTAGTGCTTCATTCGTCACCTTCCGGAAATTATAAACCACTGATCAACTCAAGTGGGTATGGAGCCTTTTCATCTCCTACGAGTGTCCCAGTTGGTGCCCAAATACAACCGCCAAAATGAAACAAATGAGGCAGAAAGAAAGCACTTGTAGCCTCACAGTCACCAAAAGTCAATCAAACTCAACTTTTATAAGCAGTGGTTGAACCATTGACGTAACATGGAGATCTCCAAATCTTGCTGCGAGTCAGTACTGAACCGCCCACACCTCCGGTTCTGGCCTATTCGCGGACTCCGTCACATGGGCCCGAACCCCTGCGATGTTTCATCATAAGTCATTGCAAGCATGTATCATGTACAGCCTAAAATACTGAGACAAAATATACTTTTACTCTAACCACTTACGAACAACAAGCTGCCACTCAAGACACTTCAGCTTGTCAGGTTAGGAGTACGGCTATAGTACTGCCGACGATATACAGCTATACTCGATTCTGGTCGCTTTTCTACTGACCACACAAGTGCCGCAGTACAGAAGCCTTTGACATTATCGAAGAGCTTACTGCTAATACAAGCAAACGCAATACTGTCCAAGTAACAAAATAAAGTAAAATGTTGAGACAGGCCGCACGGACTGACCACTGGTGTCCATGTGTAGGCCATGAGCAGCCAAGGGCTGGATATTGGGCAAAAGATCGATTGCCAGACTGTGTTGATCTTTTTAACATACTGTTATGTCGTAGCAGTCTGTTGGAATAAGGCGAACAGTGGCGGTAAGCTTGTTACTAACGCTTCTTGGATGACCTCAAGCTCAGTTTCGATTGACTTTAACAACGAAAAGCACTCATAATCGTAGTGAGTCTGCTTGTCCTTCTAAACCTGTAGTTTGAACACACTACCTGCCAACCCTTATGCTTGACGCACCTAACCTGATAGCAAGACCACTTTGAACACTGCCCCAAGATAAAGGGGAAATATAAAACTTATGGCTATTCGAGGATGTATTTTTTAACCACAATGTAAGGAGAATGTAGGAATAAACGATCAAACCACAATGCAGTCCCTTGAAAATTCATTTTTCTGAAGAATGTTTAAAGTAGCACAGATACACCAGTTGGTCGTTGAAGGTGAAACAGCTGATGTTTAACCAAATTGACAAGTTTCTTTGATCCCCTTCGAGCCAACCCGAGGGGCAAACTAAGGCTTCCCACACAGTGAAGAGTGCACAAGTAAGTCGCCTCCACTAAAGGAAACACTGAGCTCTGCAAAAATCTAGGGAATATGCCCCTTTTCCTCTAAACCCTGTTGACTGAGAAATCTTGAAATATGCGGGTTGTCGTCCAGAGGAGTGTATTGGACCCTCTCTTTTTCAAAATATACTTAAACAGTACATGTGAATGCTTCAGCATAGGTAAACCGACACTATTTGCAGACGACTTAAAAGTCACATACACATGCAAAAACACAGATCTCAGTACAAGTGTGAACTCTCTACATGAAGAAGTGACAAAAATGTATGGATGGTGTGGGAACTGGAAACTCGAGTTTAATGTGGAAAAGCGTGGCTGGCTCTGCAAATGATGTTCCAGTCTAGACCTAGGACTGAAATATTCACATAATCTATCATTTACAGGGCATATCTCGTAACAAGTGCCGAAATCATGCAGACTTACTGGTTTCCTATTCAGCAGCTTCTACAGAAATTAATCCAGAATACTACTGCACGAGGTTTGTGTGCGCCCACTCCTAGAATACTGCTCATTAATAATAAGAAGTATGCGCGCAGAAGACAAACTAAAGGTGGAAGGGGTACACAGGTACTTTACACCAAAAGTACTCAGAACCGTAAAAGGCATAAACTACCCTACCAGGCGCCAAATACTAGGACTCGGACCACTGTGGCTAAGACGACTGTGACTAAATTCGGTACTTTTCTATAAGCTTCGAACCACAAAGAGTATAAAATCTACCAATGGTACTTAGTTTTCAGACGTCATTAGATAAAACCTTAGACACATTAAAGGTACAGTGGCTATAGGACAGTTAAAAAACCAGCCATCAGGCAAAAATTTTACTTGATTGGATATGCTCAGATGCTGAACAAACTACCTACGGAAATGAGGCAATCAAATACATTGGCCTCCTGAGAAAAGGTACTTAAAGATACACCAAGAGAGTTTGCTAGCGACTCTAGTACCAACTTCCATGAAACAGCTTCAGGAACCATAAACGTTATACGATAAACACATTGCGTTTATTTATTCATCTACTTATTTTTATTTTAACACTGGGTTTCCCACTTCAAAATGGTCATTATTATTGTCTCTTTCTTTTAGATCACACATAAAGACTAATTAGGAAGAAATGACCGACGAAAGTCATAGTAACGCCATGGTTTTAAAAGGGATCACAAGCCAAACTTAAAATACAACTATAAGTTCACCTCAGGTGACTGATCCCTCATCACCTGTGACCTCAGGGAGAACAATATAAATGTCTTGCAACTTCCCTTCATAGTTAAAATCAAAGTGCAGAAGGAAAAGAATGTCAGGGGCGGGATAATAATAGTTAAAATCACTAAACTAACCGTGGCTCTAATTATCGACGAACAGTTTGAGCCTCAGAGTGGAATATATGGGAGCGCGCCTGGAGCACTTCTCGCATGGCTGGAAGATTATTTAGGCGAGAGAGAATTCTGCACCAAAGTCAACCGCATCCGATCATCCTGGCACACCTCGGCATCAGGGGTTCCTCAGGGTTCTATCTTAGGGCCGTTGATGTTTTTGATTTTTATCAATGACCTGCCCTGTCAACTGAATTGCTCTGCGCTTCTTTACGCTGACGACGTAAAGATTTGGAGAGCAATAAACTCATCGGAAGACTCCGACAGATTGCAGGCTGACCTGCAAACGCTGGGGGACTGGGCTCTGGCTAACGGAATGCCTTTCAACTTAAAGAAGTGCAAAGTAGTGCAACTTCATTCCGGCAGGTCACAGAGTGCAAATTACACCCTTGGTGGCCAGAACTTGAGTTGTGTGCCATCAGAACGCGATCTAGGCCTTATTTTAACAGAAAAGCTAGACACCAGTGTAAATTACACGAGGGACGTCGCCAAAGCTTACGGCACTTTACACTTTATGCATAGGCAACTGGGAGCTCTTACTCCTGAACTATTCCTAACGTTGTATACGACATACGTGAGGCCACTCCTTGAGGTGCATAATATCATTGGTCCTCCGGTACTCAAAAGGGATGCTAACATTCTAGAAAGTGTCCAGAGACGAGCGACAAAATGGGTGATCGGCCTCCGCAACAAATCATATGAGGAGAGACTGAAGAAATTAAGTCTTTTCACACTTAGTTACCGTAGTCACAGGGGAGACCTCATCACCGTCTATAAGATCCTAAATGACCAGGCCCATCCTAACAAGAGCATCCTGCCATTAAGTGATTATAGGCTTCCACGAGGTAACCCGCTAAGGATAGCACACCAGAGACCAAGGACTCGAGTGCGTTCACATTTCTTCTCGCTTCGAGTTTGCCGTCTCTGGAACGCTTTACCGGCGGCCGTAACTACAGCTCCATCTGTGGAGATTTTTAAGCGGAAGCTGGACAATCATGCAGAAATGCATGGTTTGTGTCTCAATGGCTTACCCTCTTAAAATTTGAAACCACATTGTCAATGGATAAGCATACAAGCTAAATCTTCACGACCCGTCCTGTCTTCTCCCACTGTACCGACTACTCTATCTTTCTTTCTTTATTATTTCACTTATCTCAACCTATATTATCTACACTACAACCTATTATTATCATTATTATTATTATTACTCTACTTTTATGACTATACCGAATGACCGACGGGTGTTAGGTCAAACTCCATTCACGGCAGCAGCTGAGTCCTAACATACTGCACACTACAAACCACAATCTTGACCAATCCTCGCATCACTCCTCCTGGAGTCTACCAGAGCTAAAGCAGTCGAGTGGCGGGATTTACTACGCATAAGTTCACCGAAGATCTGGAACCTCTACCTTAAAATCAAGAAGCGAGCTCAAAGAAATCACTGGTTTATACTAGCTCGTAATCAGGATATTGGATATTGGATATTGAATATTTGTTGTCCATTGTTCTATTACTTAATCACTTGAATCAGTTGCAAGTTCCACGTTATTTATTATGAAAAACGCAAGCCTTAGTGGTATATTATGAGGACTACGGCTACTGAACTTTTTCGTCACAGAATTGTTACCCTTTTAGTAAACTGTCATGACAACGATGATGAATGCATCAAGGTTGTTTGTCTGGCGGAATAGTGAAACTTTCGGGTGCACTTTTCGTTTTAATTACCAGGTAAACCTGTTTTTTTTGTCTCCACATCGTGTAATTCGTTGGTTGGTTTTATTTTTGGATGTAAATGCTTTTTATGTTCTTTGTGTATACGTACAATTCTATCAACTGCCCAGTTGGAGGACGCACATGAGGCGAGCACAAAGAAATCAAATTGGTTTATACTAGCTCGTAAAAACGATATTGGATATTGGAAGTGGGGAAAATAACCGAAGTGGACGCTCTTGATTAGTTGAGACGTAGGCGAAGCATGGGCAAAGTGCTAAATGAAATATCTCCCGATTCCCCCCGAAATTTTTATAGTTACTCTTTCCCATTTTTATCCATGTCCTTGTCCGCTTTTGCTTATTTTACCCTCGTTTACCACTATCGTGAAAATTTTTTTTAAAAGAAAATTTTTTGTTTTAGAATCTTGTCTTTTGTAAGGAGATCTCTGCAGCCACTCTTGAGTCTACACGAAACTGCCGAAACAATCTGATTAACCGAGGTTAAACAAAAATCCATTAGCAGTTATGGTTGTTGAAGTGTATATATCATCTACTTCTGGAAATACAAACGTATGTTTAATGTGTATATGTGACTTTAGTCTTAACAGGTCAAAAGCAGACAACAGTATATAATGAACATCCTATCCGCTGCGAAGATTCCTTACGAAGTCAAGGATATTTCATCTTCAGAAGCTAGCAAACAATTTATGTGTAAAACTCTAAAGGAAAACGGAAAGACCCCAATAGCTCCTCAACTCTTTCTTGGAACAGAGTATCTTGGGGTAAGACCATACTTTTTCGTTGTACTTTTCAGTTAGTCTTATCAAGGTCTAATTTCTGCATGTACTTGCCATGAATTTAGGAGTGACTGCTGTTTTAATAGTTTGCACATAACCGCTGATTCGGTGTTTACAAGTTTGTTTTTCATAAGCCACAATAAAATATTAATGGTCTAAGTGGTATTAATCATTTATCTTCATGTTCGATTTTCCAGGTTTAACGTCACATTAATCTCTGAGTCTCCAATGGTTAGGTCCGAAGTCCAGATTATGTTTTTCTTACTTCGGCATAAACAAGGGAATATTATCGTCCCTCATTCCCTCACATGTAGTTGATAGTCTAATGTACTGTAAAAAGGTTATGTGATCAGCAACTGTGATGTAGTTTTATTTCATTAACGTCAATGTTTATCCAGCTCAACATTTTCAATCTAATAAGACGTCTTGGGGTTATGGTTAACTTGTCAACTTGAATCAAAGTCTATCCCTGTGTTCGAAATCATACTTTGATCCTTAACCTTTTCCATCACCTTTATCGTCAGGGTATAGATAAAATTTCGGCGAATTGTGGTATTGATAAAATTCCATTAAGCTAGTTGTGTAGGCGACAGCTTAGTAAGTCTACTATGAAACAAAAAGTGCCCCGTCATTTAATCTCACTTAAGCTACAGTAAGGCTTTCAGTATTGTCAACTATGAAAGAATTTCAATCCGCTGTAGTTCAGGAATTTATTTTTAGCTAGTAATTGTTTAGTTTTTGAGTTTAGGTATTGTTATGGGAAAGATAATGAGTATATTCACAGTACTCATGAATGAATAATTAGTGATGGTTGATTTTCTCAAGGAATAAAAAGCATTTCATTCTTATATCCTTGAAATTGCAATCGTTTCAATAGCAGTTATTTACCTGTTAAAAAGTTAAATTTTGTCCAAATGTTAAGAAATTCAATAATCCGTTAATTTACTGTGGTGATGTAGTAGTGTTTTAGCAAATTGTAAATTAGAGATAATCAGTAGCTTATGATATGAATGAAATGTGAATAGTTAAGTAATTATCCTTCATACTTTTTCCTTGCAGAAAATGATATCAATTGTTTCTGTTGTCGCACTGTTAAGGCTTTTAAATCATGACTGTTGTTTATAATATAAAGATTTCGAGACATTTCTTAGTTGACAATAACTAAGTAGATGTCTTCTCTACAAAAGAAACTGTAAGATGATATACCCAGAAGGAAAGCATACTTTCCGCTCTCAAAATCCTTAAATAAAGAGGATGCTTAAAATTAAAGTTCAACCATTTGGTTTTTCTATGAAAACTTTACAGACGCCTTCATATCATCTTAAATGAGAAATTAATATCTTAATAATATCTTGTTGTAAGGAGTGGTGTTATTTAGAAAGTTTCGCTATTTATTATATAGAATTATATCAATGTAAGTGATTGCTTTTATTCATATTGCAATTCAGTAGTCCTATAACAGCTGAAAATTACAAACTGTTATCCACTGAACTACTAATCACAATTCACCTAATATTGGAGTTTACGCAGCCAGATAGTTTCCTTTGGATCTCATGCAGTATAATCTCCCTTAATTATGTTGAATGACTTTCGTTTCCAAGTTTTGATTTAAACAGACTGACATTTCGTAGAAGTAACTATTTAAGTGTATCATTTTCATAAACGGTGCGTCGGTGGTTTTATTTGTAGGATGCTTCCTAACCAGGCACATTGTCCGGGTTCGATTCCTGCTCTATGCACTTTTGAGCCTCACCACCTAGATAAGGTAGACGGTTGGGTGTGAAGATAGCAAAATTATCATCTCCATTACTGAAGCATCAAAACGTGAAGCTCTGTGTGTTCCACTGGGGGAGGGGGGGAGGTGCAAGGAATAAAAATGGAAGTCCCTTGAATTAAAATGACTATCAGTTTATTCTTGTGATGCATATCACAGTTTGGTGGTGTGATGCAGACAGTGTGTTCCAGCTGAATATTATTCTCAAATATTCCCACAGTTCAATATTACATTAGCAACAGAATGCTATATATATATTTGAACATTCTATTTCATGTCGTTTGATGTAAACCAAGATCACACGCTCAGTGATTGGTTAAGAATATAAACTGTATATATATAAATAGCGGTTTGATCACTTGAAAATATACCTTGGCTTGCGTGTCTTGCCTTTTGCTGTTGCAACAGAAATCTTCATTATTTTGTTTTACATTATATTGATATTATTACTAGCCGAAAGGTGACTCAACAGCTAGGCGAATGTATATTTGCTTGAAAATGACCATTGGTTACTTTGTTTGTTGCACATAATTTGAGAAACTTTGATCATAATCTTTTAGAAACTTTTGCGTTCTCGTTACAAAATACCCAACTGCTCACAATCATTTTTTAATCTTGGCTACCGTTCGGTAAATTGATTTTGTTATATTTTGGAGTGTTGAGTATTAAGAGATAAAGTGAAAATCTGCACTAGTAGTTTCTGAGTTGCTGGTTATTAAGAATAAGTGTTGATTTACTTAGTGTAAAATAATAGCTATCAAGTGTTAAGTTTTATGCATTTGATTGATTTCAAGTTAGTTAGTGAGCTGACATAAGTGAGTACTACACAACTGTTACTGACTCGTTAGCAGCATGCACTCATGACTCCACCAACCATCTATCGTATTCAGGACCTTCAGGTTATATTGACCATTCAGCCACTGAAAAGGAGTCTAATGATTGGTCCTTGAATTCTATTTTCTGTCACTTCCCGACATATATCTCAATCTTCAGCCAATATCATAGGCAAGTATTTTTCCTCACACCCAACTTGTTGGACCCCCTATTGGTCTCGACTTCTCACCAGAATCGCAGGCAACTTCATCGTGTTTTCAGTCACTAGTGAGTATTCGATCAGTTTGAAAGAATTTTATTTTCGATTGGTCGGAGGATTTCATCATGAGCTGACATCAGTTATAGAAGCATTGGATAACCATCAGGGAGTACTGGACAGCTGTTTCGTCAGCCTAGTTTGGGACTCTTCACAGTACGCACCCACGGGGGTTCGAACTCAGGACCTTCTGGTTACAAGGCGAGCTTGATGACCATTCATCAGTCACTGGGATCCGATCCAATGATCGGCCCATGAAATCTAACTTCTGCCAATTCACTCACGACATAACACGACCACTTCTCAATGTCTTCTTCGGTGAGTTACTGCCTCACCTTCAACCTGCTGCAACTTAAAGATCATGGCTTCCCAGTAGAATACCAGGTTAATTGCCTGAATAGGGCTGCCAGTCGCTAATAAGCATCAGATCAATTTTCTAGCATTGGTTTTGTAATCCTTCCAAGACCAATACTTGAAAATTTCATTTTGTTTCTATATTGATTACAACCTAGGATCATTTAGAGAACTATGTCTATCTCTGTCTGTTTTCGACATAAAACTTTGCACATATGTGCGGCAGTTCAAGTCGCTACACTCCATGTAGCACACAAAGCAAGAGAAGAAAGTTGGGGAAATGCATATTAGAGACAGTAAACAGAGGTGGGAGGCAAAGGAATAGTAATAACGAAAAACAAAACAGTTTCATTGGAAATCATGAGTCACAAGGAGTGCATGCATCTGCGCTAGCCATTGAGAACAATTTTGAGCCATGTCACCAATTTTTTCCAACCACTGGTTTTTACCGTCCCAACCAGGAAGTCTAAACCTTCTTACGTGGCTTAGACTAACTGTTGTAGATTTCATTGACTGGTGCCATGTTTTGGTTTACCCACCGCTAGCTCTTTTCCAGCCTGAACCTATATCAGCTAACATTGCTCATTGTCGAGGAAGGCGATGACTAGGGGAGACATGCGTAACACATGTCCTAACCATCTCAGTCGATGTAATCTCACAGTCTCGTCGACTGATTTCCCCTCCTTACCTAGCACTCGACCAAAGCCTAACCTCAATATTGCTCACCTTATTATACCACTTCACGCGGGAGATAGAACGCAGACACCTATGATCAAAGAGAACTATGGAAAATCAGGGAGTATTGGGCAGTTGTTTTGTCGTAGTCTGAGGCTCTTCAGAGGCAAAAATTCATGGCAGAGGCTGAAATTCAAGAACCACTGCGATTCGATCCATGGTTCGGATATGGATGTGTACTGTTGGAGATTCTCTAAACTAGCAGGAAATAGCTGTCCAGTGTCTCATAATTTCCTGTGGTTCTTCAAATGATGTTACCTCCTGATCTAACATTAACAAACTGATAGTCGATTCCACACATATCTATCTATCTAGATAAAAAATACACATGTATTACCCTGCTTGTTTCTCCTTTTCCGTTTACAGGATTATGAAGAATTTATTGAAGCGAATGAAAATGAAATGTTAATGGAATTTTTAAAAATGAACGATTCCTCTCACACTGAACGTTTAGAAGCTGAATCATAGATAGATTCGATTAAAACACACACACACACACACACAAACAAACAATGATACCCGTGTTTTCTTTTTTTGATAAAGTAATTCCTCCATCTTGTCTTGTCTTACCACCGTCATTATTATTACTTGTCTGTTTTCTACAAACTTTAATATACATCTTTTGTGTTTTGGTTGTTTTTTTGTTCAACAATTTTTATATATATGCTTTAGTTGTTTGTTTCTTTTGATTCATGTCTAATATTAGCTATTGATATATATACTACTTATTATTACATACATTCGTTCATGCATACACTTGTCAGGTTGATGATTAAACCGCCAGTCCATAGGTTATGTTTCCACAGTACTATGGTGTAAATTATTCCGTTATTGCTTTAAAAGGATACATTGATGTGTCCACCTTCCATTGTTGTATACTATTATTATTACTGTTATTACTATTACTATTATTATTATTATTACCTCCGTTTTGATTACTAATCATTGTTTTGTTTTTTACCACAATAAAAAAAAGCAAAAACACAACTTCCAGGTTATGATTCTCATTCCATTTTCCTTTTTTCTTTCTCAGTCTTACAGCTTTTTTTGTACGATTGCAATATGTGCTTGTTTATTTATTTATTTAATTTATTTTTTTGCAGTCCATGTTTTTCTGTTTTTCATAGTGGTTTTCTTTTGTATTAAGCATAGTTTGATATAGTAAATGTATGTTTTTGTGTTTTTTGCAGTTAGCTATATACATATTTATCTCTAGGTGTGTTATCTACACATTCTTCCAATGTAAAAATTAACTTGTGTCTTATAAGTAAATTAACGATTATACATAGATATATATACATATTGTCTTTTGTTATTATTATTATTATTACTATTATTCCCTTGGGTTCCGAGTGGAACATAGGGTCGCAACGGTATATCTCTTTGTTATCCTGGTCCCACGATTTCCTATGAATCTTCATCTTCTCCTCACACGGCTTCCACCGTGACACTTAACACGTCGTTTCCCACTCGTCGTCGTGGGCCTGGTGTGCGATGTCATTCAATGGTCTCCTCAGCATATGTCCTTCGATACATCCCTATTTTCTTAGGCGTATTTGTTGGGTAATAGATTCTGGGTTGGTTCGTTGCCTCCTAGAGTTTCCTGCTGCTGGCCATTTGACCTTCATTAGGCAGGTGTTGATAAAAGTCTTCAGTAGCCTGTTGAAAATGCTTTTCGCGATACGCCTGCCAAGTTTCTGACCTATATATAGAAGATATGATTGACGTAACATTCAGTTTGAAAATATGAATCGTGTTTTTGGTTATGAGTACATCAGATTTCCAAACTGGTTTTAGAGTGATGAAGATCTGTTGTGCCTTTCCAATTCTTGCTGGCTTTGACATCTTCATCCGTTCCGTCTACCTGTAGTTGAGACGATGTTTCCTAGATAAATGATTGGTACTGGTTGTTGCCGCTGTTGCTGTTGGTTGGTTATCTTCCTCACCTCCGTCTTTACTATGTTCACTTGAAGTCTTGCCTTCGCTGCCCGCTTCTTCTGAAAGTTTGTTGGTATTTGTCTGTAGATAGATCTTCGAGTTAGACATAAATCATCCACACTCGAAATCCTGATCTTCTAAACTTTTCTTATCGGCCCAGCGTATTCCTGTCTTCTCGCTACCCACGGTTGTCTGCATAACCTTGTCTACCACAATCAGATATATCACCAGTATTTGTAGGCAGCTTTTTATTACTCTTGTCTTCACACCAAAAGCTTCACTGAGTTCTCCGTTGTGGACCACTATACACGCGAAATTGCCATGTAACCGTTGAGTGAGGTTGGAGTGGTTTCCAAATTACTTCGTGGTCAACGCTGTCGAATGCCTTTTCACAGTCAAGGAAGTTGGTGTCCTTAATTAAAACAGTAAATATTCTTTGATAAACTTTAAATGTTTTAAGATAGTTTGAGATGATCGGACTTCGGATTTTCGTGATTCTGTGATTTTTCTCCATTGGTTGGAGTTCTTTGTCCTCCTCACTGTGTCATTCACAGTGAAAGGTATAAAAAGGCTGGCTGTCTTTGGCGACAGATGTTTATGTACTGTTTCCCATATTAAGTGGTATAATGTGGTGAGTAATATTGAAATGAGGCTTCTAGGACACATGCTCAGCATGCCCAGATATCGCCTTCCTTGACAAGCAGTGTTAAGTGGTATAAAGTTGGGTTGGAAAGGAGTTAGAAGCGTTCCATCCAAAAAAACTGGCATTAATCCATAAATCTCTCGCAATTATTTTGGTCTAGTGACGTAGGGCGGCATAGACTGCCTGGTTAGAGTTCAGTGGCTTGAGACTTTTGATGACATGGCTTCAAATCGCTGTCAATGGTTTCAGGTGTATTCACTCTATATAATCCCCTACTTGCATTACACCCTCATGTTCCTTTGTGTTACTGTTCTCTCTTCTGTGCATTTTTGCCAATAGGAGTTCCTTTAGATTTCGTTTTTTTCTGATTTCTCTACTTTTGTGTCCTATATGAAGTATGGTGACTTGAACTGGTACATTTCTGTGTAACGTCCTATGTTGAGACTCAGTGAGTTAGTCTCGTGATTACTGGTAGTCGTTAGCAAGGAGTATCTGCATTTTCGAGGTAAAGGTCTGGTGCCTCCTCATTTCACACGTTTCTGCACTCTCAGAAGCGGTGTCACTGAGTGAGCTAGGTGATTCACCATCATGGTGCTCTTTGAATTAATATTAAGAGAAGACATTCATCGAAGAGGCTCTTTTCGGCGAATTCATTCACATAGCTGTTCCTAAAACTGTACGAGTCAAACTTCTCTAAACTGCAGAAGCAATGACAATTCACTTGCTAATTCCTGAACTCTGTATACAGAAGAAGTTCGTTCAATCACTACACTTGCAATGGACGTAACCTATCTTAATACCCGACAGGTAAATTCTATTTCTTTCTGTCTCTTCAATAATATTATTTTGTCCTCTCAATTGTAATATTTAACATTTTCAATTTTGTTGTTCTCTACTCCGAACCGATTTAATTTCTGCACCTCACTACCACTGTTACTGACTTGACCAACGCTCAATTTCTGGTCATTTATGTTACGTCATCCAATTTATTTGCTTAATTTTAGTCCTAATTTAAATAGCATTATTCTCTACCCCACCTCTACTTAGTCTCTACCTGTAATAACCTCTGTTGCTATCCTGACCTAAGTTCAAACATTTTAGTCAATTACATAATAATAATAATAATAATTTGCTTTATTCCAAAAACAGTACTAATGATACAGCAAGGAATTTTCAGCATTCAGTACAATATTGCATCTAATTTTCTCAAAAATGACAACAAAAAAGCAAAATAAAAAATAAACTTTACATAATAATGATAACATAACGTTGTTATAGCGGCTATTTAGCAAATTACTGTATGCAATACGGAGAAAAATATGCATAAAGTATAAAATTATAGTAATAATAGTAATAAAAACTAAAATAAAAATAGCAAAGTTGTAATTAAACGATAGAAATTACAGAAAGATGAACAATGAAAGGGTCGTTTCTTTTTACGTCATCTAACTTACTAACTCAATCTTACTTTAGTTGCTGTCTAATTAATCTTGTTTCTATATTAGATCATTCTTGTATCACCTGATTAATTATCTTAACTTGACAGACCTTATGTACACACACACACACACAAACAATTATATACAAATGAGATTGTACAGCTAAGAGTGAATGAATTCGCCGTTGAAAAGAGTCTCTTCACTGAACGTCTTCTCTTTTTCATATGACTCAATGGTCATTATTAACCTACTTATAATTAAGAGTTTTCAGGTGACAGGTTAGGAGCTTTGAGCTTTCATGATTATTGGTAACTCCTCCCTCCGCGCTGTTCTAGTGACTAGTCAGAGTGCCTTAACTGTTTTGTCAGATAATGAACCAACAGACTGTTTCACTTTCATAAATATAAAGGGTTAACGAAATTGTATGGAGGTTGATTGTCAAATATTTTAAGACTATTTAACATTATTCCTTGAAGTGGTACTAGAATGTTTTTGTCTTATAATCACTCTGCATTTAACTATTGACTTGTGGGTTCGAGGAAACCTCTCTTATACTTGTTTATTTGAAGGGTGGGGGTTGGTTTTACATTTTACGGCCACTTATTGAGATGAAAGGCGATCTGATTAGATTTTAACTGTACGAAATTCGTGGAATACACTGGGACTTCCTGTTTTGGGATATCTCTTTTCAGCTATTCTTTTTCGTGAACGTCAAAATGAAATCGAATAAATCCTATAATGTTATGTCGTTACCTTATTAAGGGGATGGAAGATTCTGTTGGCCTGTCAGCTAGCAAAATAGAAATGAATGAATAGAAATGCGGTAGAATGACTAAGCCTCCAAAGCCTCAGGATGGTCGGGGGTGAGTGCCTTGCGCTGCGGGTTGGCCACCCCTCCGCACACCTCTTGAAATGCTCCCATATGACTGGGCGTCTTTCGTAGCCTCTCCTGAGGAAGTCCTACTCATTGCCTTCACGTGGCGGAGGTGTTTTTCACCAAAGTGAGAGGGCGAAAGCGGATGCCCGGCGCTCTTCACCGGGTTGACTGTTCATTGGATGACAGTCTAGGGGAGATGGCTAAACCCTGATTCCAAACCTCCAACGACTGGCGTATGAAGCTCACTGGAGCTCACCGGCAGACGTATGGACAAAGGGCTTGTTGAATGTCTTGGATGTCTGGCCCCATTCAAAAAGGCATATGAACTGAACTCCGGTCACCGGCTGCCAATGGATAGTGGACTCCCTACTCCACTCCTACTGCCTTGTATGTCACACTTGGTTGTGTAAAGGCTAGAGCTGCACTCTCAAACAAAAGGCCGAGCGATTCTGGGGACATCACTCGTACCAAATTCCCATGAAACTTCATGAAATCTCTTACAAACGATGTCGCAGGGGTGGACAGCTGAAAACATGGCTTGATACAGTCAAGGCTGATATGGAGTGCCTAGGGCTACGAACCGTCTACGGAATCCGTCTGTAGAACAAGAATTGGATAACCTTGTCGCAAAACCTTGCATCAGATCGCCGCGCCTGGGCAGCGATGATTCGAGATGTTCATGAAGCCGGCTCATCCTCCCGTAGGAGATAGCCGAA